ATCAATCCTGATTATTTTTATCAAATCCATGTGTCAGTCCTATACCAGAGAGAAATGCAAGACAAAATAATATGTCATGTCAAAATATTTTTCTAATAATTGCTTCACCCACTTCTGGAACCAGAGAAAATATCTTTACACTCTTTGTACCTGCTAAGTCTTGTATTACAGGACTTGTTATTTATGACTTTCAATAAGCAACTATAAATACTTCCTCCCTGTTGGGGCTTACAGAACCATGAGGAACTTGTTATTGTTTATAGATGGAATGAAATGTCTGGTTTAGTGAACTTGACAGGAAAAAAATAGATCTAAGCTCACAAATTTATTATGGCTATGCAGCAAAATTTGAGTTAATTGATTCTGCTTTAAAATAATTATGTACAGAGGTATTATATTATCCAAATCATCTTAGCTGTCCTTTGACTAGGGATGTTACTAGGTAACCGTTTCACTGGGTACTTGTTAACTGGGAGCAGTCCTGCATGCCGCCCAGGGCTGCTGGTTCCCAGACCACGTGGGCTGGGAGCAGCCAGGCTGGAGGAGCCCAGCCTGCTGTGGGGACCATTCCACCCCAACCCCAGCATGCATGGGCTACTCCCACCATCCTCTTTAATCGATTAAATTCGTTTGACCAATTAAACAGGATTTTACATCCCTACCTTTGACCATAACAAATTAAGATTTACTTATCTAAAGAGCATGTTGAAACATTTACCTTTTTTGAAATTTACATATTTTGTACTTGATTGTATAAACCAAAATATATAAAGAACATAAGAATGGCCATACTGGGTCAGACCAAAGTTTCATCTAGCCCAGTATCCTGTCTTTTGACAGTGATCAATGCTAGTTGCCCAGAGGAAATAGGTAATCATCAAGTGATCCATCCCATCACCCATTCCCAGCTCTGTTTTTTTAATGTGGTTCATTCCGAAGTTTAAGCTAGTAAACAACTTTTGGTATGTAGTGAAGGTGATTAAGGTGTACTTCTTCTATAAGAAAACAATGTGGCTCAACTAATTTTACTGTGCTGTAAATTCTTGGATGAGAATTGTCCTTCCTGTATCTCACATTCTCCCACTCATTCCAGTTTGTTCAGCTAGATGAAGTATCCCGTACCAGTGAAGTAGTAAGAGCCAAGTCATTTTCACCAGAGCAGAATGACTCAGTTTAGAGATGAATTCAGACAAGAACATCATGCTGAAAATGGTGCTGTCCAGCTGAGCTGCTTCATGGCCTCTCAAAACAGGAATAGGGACAGAAGAAGAGAGATTGGTTGAACATAAGAGATAAGAAGAGGAAAAAAAAAAACAGGAAAGCACATACATGAGAAGAGAAATTCCATCTCACCAGAAGCAACACCAGTCAGGCAAAAAATACTTCCTCCAAAAATAAATTCATATCTATATATACTATAAAGAGTAGGGAGGTATGAATCAATGTACTTAAGTTAGGAAAAATGAAAAAAGCCCCAAAACCATGTAAGAAAGAGAGAGAAAAAGAAAGTTAGCAATAAAGTTTCTTAAACATTTCCTTTTGGCAAATCAAGAAACCTATTAAAAGTTTATTAAAGTGAACAACTTCTGTTAAGATATATTCCCCCCCCCCCTTGAATCAACTGCAATGACAGTATCATATACCAGAGTTACAAACTGAAGCATCAACCACATGCCTCCTGTGGAGCCGGAAGTAAGCAATCAGGCAACAGTAGAGACAAAAACAAAACAAAACAAAAAAAAAGCAACAGTACACTACTATGCTAAACTACTAAAAAAGGTTCAGAGGGGAGGCGAGTTAGTCTGTAACTACTCCCCAGCTGACCCTGGGCTCCCTGTGGCACTGCCGCTTTGAACCACTGCAGGGAGTATGGGGCCAGCAAGGGACTACTTGTGTCCCCCACTGGCCCCATGCTCTCTTACAGCACTTTTGCCTTTGAAGTGTAGCAACAGCCCTGGGAATGTTGCTACAGCCCAAAGGCAGAAGCTCCCTTATTGACTAATAGAACAGTCAATGCAAATTGCAAATTCAATTAGCCAATTCATTGAAATTTTACATCTCTATCCATGACTTGAAATTTTTAAATTAAGATTGGATGTTTTTCTAAAAGCTATGCTCTATTTGAAACAGGAATAAAGTCAGACTAGTCCTTCATTCTGTTATACAAAAGGTGATCAAAATTGCCCCTTCTGGTTTTATAATCTGTGGAAAAAAAGCTTTGACCTCACATACACTCACAGTATATTGAGGAGGCTTTTACTAAATAAAACATTATGTTAATCCAGGAAGGCTTAATCAATCCTGATTATTTTTATCAAATCCATGTGTCAGTCCTATACCAGAGAGAAATGCAAGACAAAATAATATGTCATGTCAAAATATTTTTCTAATAATTGCTTCACCCACTTCTGGAACCAGAGAAAATATCTTTACACTCTTTGTACCTGCTAAGTCTTGTATTACAGGACTTGTTATTTATGACTTTCAATAAGCAACTATAAATACTTCCTCCCTGTTGGGGCTTACAGAACCATGAGGAACTTGTTATTGTTTATAGATGGAATGAAATGTCTGGTTTAGTGAACTTGACAGGAAAAAAATAGATCTAAGCTCACAAATTTATTATGGCTATGCAGCAAAATTTGAGTTAATTGATTCTGCTTTAAAATAATTATGTACAGAGGTATTATATTATCCAAATCATCTTAGCTGTCCTTTGACTAGGGATGTTACTAGGTAACCGTTTCACTGGGTACTTGTTAACTGGGAGCAGTCCTGCATGCCGCCCAGGGCTGCTGGTTCCCAGACCACGTGGGCTGGGAGCAGCCAGGCTGGAGGAGCCCAGCCTGCTGTGGGGACCATTCCACCCCAACCCCAGCATGCATGGGCTACTCCCACCATCCTCTTTAATCGATTAAATTCGTTTGACCAATTAAACAGGATTTTACATCCCTACCTTTGACCATAACAAATTAAGATTTACTTATCTAAAGAGCATGTTGAAACATTTACCTTTTTTGAAATTTACATATTTTGTACTTGATTGTATAAACCAAAATATATAAAGAACATAAGAATGGCCATACTGGGTCAGACCAAAGTTTCATCTAGCCCAGTATCCTGTCTTTTGACAGTGATCAATGCTAGTTGCCCAGAGGAAATAGGTAATCATCAAGTGATCCATCCCATCACCCATTCCCAGCTCTGTTTTTTTAATGTGGTTCATTCCGAAGTTTAAGCTAGTAAACAACTTTTGGTATGTAGTGAAGGTGATTAAGGTGTACTTCTTCTATAAGAAAACAATGTGGCTCAACTAATTTTACTGTGCTGTAAATTCTTGGATGAGAATTGTCCTTCCTGTATCTCACATTCTCCCACTCATTCCAGTTTGTTCAGCTAGATGAAGTATCCCGTACCAGTGAAGTAGTAAGAGCCAAGTCATTTTCACCAGAGCAGAATGACTCAGTTTAGAGATGAATTCAGACAAGAACATCATGCTGAAAATGGTGCTGTCCAGCTGAGCTGCTTCATGGCCTCTCAAAACAGGAATAGGGACAGAAGAAGAGAGATTGGTTGAACATAAGAGATAAGAAGAGGAAAAAAAAAACAGGAAAGCACATACATGAGAAGAGAAATTCCATCTCACCAGAAGCAACACCAGTCAGGCAAAAAATACTTCCTCCAAAAATAAATTCATATCTATATATACTATAAAGAGTAGGGAGGTATGAATCAATGTACTTAAGTTAGGAAAAATGAAAAAAGCCCCAAAACCATGTAAGAAAGAGAGAGAAAAAGAAAGTTAGCAATAAAGTTTCTTAAACATTTCCTTTTGGCAAATCAAGAAACCTATTAAAAGTTTATTAAAGTGAACAACTTCTGTTAAGATATATTCCCCCCCCCCCTTGAATCAACTGCAATGACAGTATCATATACCAGAGTTACAAACTGAAGCATCAACCACATGCCTCCTGTGGAGCCGGAAGTAAGCAATCAGGCAACAGTAGAGACAAAAACAAAACAAAACAAAAAAAAAGCAACAGTACACTACTATGCTAAACTACTAAAAAAGGTTCAGAGGGGAGGCGAGTTAGTCTGTAACTGGAAAAAACTCAAACAACGACCTAGACTATTGGCTGTTCTTAAGTTTTTACTAAAAAAAGGGAAAACTTAAAAAAATTGACAAAGTAAAGAACTTAAGAGGGTTAAAAGCAGCATTTTTCTTTTGCATAGAAAATCTTAAAAGCTGTAATAAGTCAATGTTAAGTTGTAGACTTTTGAAAGACCCATACTGTTTTGTTCAGTTACAAACAACCTGTTTCCAAGGTGTTCATAACTCTGAGGTTCTACTGTACTACTCTGTTCTGCACTTATTTCTTTAAGGATTTGTACATTTTTCAGTGCCCAACTACTTTTTTTCTTCCACATCACTGACTAGAATCCTACAAAATTCACAAAACAGCCATGTCTATGCTTCTGTAAAGCAGAGTTTTCCCTAAACATCATTTTAACCCCAAAGAGACTAGGGCTATGTACACTTCTAGTCTCATAGACTGGTGCTGTTGGAAAGCTCTACAAATAAAAAACACAAATGAGAACCAGCTGTGTTTTTAATAGTTTACTGCTGCTAGAAATGCCATGAAGAGACATATTCAAAGTGAAAATGGAAGGGAGCAAGATAAAACAATAAAAGGAACACACACACACACACACACACACACACACACACACACACACACACGTACACGTGAAGGGCTACCGAAAAAAAGTAAGTCCTAGTAAGAGTGTCCCTTAAACAAGGAATCTCTAAAAAGAGTATTGGGGAAAAAATTATTCTTCTCTACTTACACCAGTCAACACAATAAGTAAAGCCCAATTTTTGTTCAATAATACTGTTAAGAAATGGACCAGGACAAGCTGCAGACTCCACATTAATACCATTTCTTATAACTAAGTTTCCCCAACCAACTTTCAATATATACTTAAAATCATATACATACCAACTTCATTGAAGTCTTCAAAGGTGATTTTGCCTGTTGCATCTCTATCATAATCTTTAAGTATTTTTAATACGTCAGCTTTTTTTACATCAAAACCCAAAGCTCTCATTGCCACCTTTTGGAATAAAACAGATGTACAACAATATACCTCTTCAAAATATATATTGGACAGTTCTCTTTTTACATAAGTTAGTATCTTAGCCAAGATAAAATGTGGATGATTGGAGAAAAACAGACTTCAATACAGGCAGTCCCCGGGTTACGTACAAGATAGGGACTGTAGGTTTGTTCTTAAGTTGAATCTGTATGTAAGTCAGAACTGGCGTCCAGATTCAGCCGCGGTTGAAACTGATCAGTTTCAGCAGCGGCTGACGCCAGTTCCGACTTACATACAGATTCAACTTAAGAACAAACCTACAGTCCCTATCTTGTACGTAACCCGGGGACTGCCTGTATTTAACACACGTCTTTCTGGAGATGCAAGCCAAATCCACTTGGACATTAAACAAATTTTATGGCTGCTTTGCATTGCCAGACCAGCACAAAGTATCTGGAGCATATTGGTGAATTGGGCTTTGAATTTTTAATTTACCAAGCATTCTGTAGACAGTACTGGTTATATTGCACTCAAATGGGCACACAAATAGCCTTGCACTGTACAGCATATGTATCAATCAACCTACAATACTTTGCTGATCCTATTTAAGTCACATAAATCAACCTACAAGACTTTGGCGTTTTAGCCATGCATTTTCATGCACCGTACCAAATTTTAACAAAACAGCTGGACTCTAGACAACTAGGAGGTATGTTGCCAGGTGAGCTGCCTGAAGTCCAATACTTTGAACAGGAATATACATTGGCACATTCCAAAACTATGTCATAAGAACTAGGGGTTATACAATGCAATCTGTAGGTAGCTGATTTAAAATAAACATAGAATCATAGAGCTGGACGAGACCTCAGGAGGTCATCAAGTCCAGCCCCCTGCCCAAGGCAGGACCAATCCCAATGAAATCATCCCAGACAGGGCTTTGTCAAGCCGAGACTTAAAAACCTCTAGGGATGGAGATTCCACCACCTCCCTAGGTAACCCATTCCAGTGCTTCACCACCTTCCTAGTAAAATAGTTTTTCCTAATATCCAACCTAGACATGTCCCCTTCCCTCACTGTAACTTGAATTCCCGCAGTCAGTGTCCTCCAGGGCGAGAAAAGCCCCGTTCGTAACTGCGGATCCGACATAAGTCGGATCCACGTAAGTCGGGGACTGCCTTTACATACAATCATAAATAAAACAAAGTGTTCTCAAATTAGTACTTATAAAAGACTACAAAGTGAAGCCAAAATATGTAAAATGTCATGCTTTTAGAGATTTTATAACGTGCTAAATACATCTAGTGGGCAAGTTGATTGTTTTCCCTTAAGAGGACTGAGTTGCTTTCATAAATTAAGAGGGAAATGTTAAACTGTATTCTTTTATTGCAACTGTGAACATTTGTAAGAACAGTCTATAGCTAAATTAAGAATTTTGGCATTCACTCAAACACATTTGTCAAATCCATTCCCACTTATATACATCCAAATTCTACTGAAGATAAGGGTTATACAGGAAAGGGAGCTGCTTGGTCTTCTACGCCTTTATTCTCCAATTGTCATATCTTCAGAACCAACGCATAGAAGTCAAGTCACATAGCTAATCTATACAACTATTGAACCATTTCTGAAGTAACAACGGGGATACAAGTACTTCCTGTGAATCCTAACTGTACTGGCCAGAGGTATAAAACATCCACTCTCCACCAAAAGTCCCCAGTTCTCCTCCACCTTCAGAAGACCTGAAGTTTCTGAGTTTTGAAACAGATGTGGAGAGGAGTTATCATTTCTATACAGAGAACACAAGTTACATAAAATAAACAGTCTTCACAAAGCCGCTATGGTTATGTCTACACTCCAGGGAACACGTCTGCTCTTCCGCTTTTTTTTGTGGCGCTTTTTCGAAAGCCCTGTCTTTCTCCTCCCATGAGGAAGAACAGCTCTTCCAAAAGAAGAGGCTTTTCTGAAATTTGGCCCAGTGTAGAAGAGCCAAATTTCAGAAAAGCCTCTTCCAAAAAAGCTATTGGAAAAAAGCTACGCAAATTGCGGAGTGCAATTTGCATACCTTTTTCCGATACAGCACTGTAGTGTAGACATAGCCTATGAGTCCAACTAGCTATTTCCTCCTAGAGAAGCCCAACTAGTTACAGAATAAAAAAAGCACTGCCTTCCCGAAAGCAAAATTCTGTATCCAGAAAATACTGATTCATAAAAATGTGCACCAAGTTCCATTATCATCCCTACAATTTCCAAGAAGGGAGACTGGCTAACAGAGGTTGCAACTTTAAACTTCTCCTAGTTGTAGAGATGACCATCTGGATGAAGGCCTGTAGCAAGAGGGGAAAACAGAGAAAGATTCCCAATACCTTTACATAAGTTTAGAACACTAAATTTGAGTCCCATGGGTCAACACGTTCGCTGTTAAGAGGTTCCAGTTAGCAAATCCTGGTCCTAACTCCACAGTTCTTAATTTGCATCTTTCATGTAAACAAGTTCCTTTAAAAAACACACACACACACACACACAACCGATTACTATGATACAGCAAGAACTCTACATTTATTGTGCAACTATGGAGATCAGGTTGATTTCACTAGACTCTCCTACTTTGTTCTACTCAACCTGGAAAATCCCAGATCTGCAACTGTATAGCTACAGTTCCCTGTTGAAGGGATAAACTAATTTTTTTGCCAATTTTAGTGCTTCAACCATCTATGAGATAGTTGGGACTGAGACCCCTGTTACGCAGAATCCACATATTATGCCACTAATATGGGAGGGGAAGGACTGTGCATGACTATTTGGGTCTCACTCAAAATCCAGTCACTTTTGAAATGTAACCACTCCTTCACCAATGTAGGCGTGTCTAAATGTGAGCTGAGCTCTTTTAAAAATATAGGCCATCAAAACGTAAGTACAAAACAGAAGTTACCTTTAACTCATGATAATCTATTGCTTTATCTTTGTCTGTGTCAAACAACTCAAAAGCATCTTTAATTTCTTGCTTCTGTTCTTCAGTCAGTTCTCTTTTTTTCTTCCTTTTGGTTTTGTCTACTGCAAGATCATTCCTACAAGTTAGAGAAAATAAACTATTGTAAATAATTACTACTGATAGAATATCATCTTTAAAGCATTTTACAATTATAAATAAGGGCTCGTCTAGACTACATTTCTCTGTCGAAAGAGGAATGTAAATAAGCCCGATCAAAAGTGCAAATGAAGCAGAGATTTAAATATCCCATGCTTCATTTGCGTCTGATTGCTGTTTCAAAAAAAGGGGTTTTCGAAAGTGAAACCACACTCTAGACGGGTTCTTTTTGGGGGCGAGGGAACCCTTTTTCAAAAGAACCTGTACTCCTGAAAAAATGAGTATGGGCTCGTTTGAAAAAGTTATTTTTTTCCCCGAAAGAGGAATGTAGTCTAGACAAGCCCTAACATACCGACATATTCAGGAAGTAGGTAGATATTCTACCCATTTTGCACAATGAGCAAAAGGAGGAAGAGAGGCTCAAGTGACTTGCCCAATCGCAAAGAGAGATACATTGGTACAGCCAGAATTGTTTATTTATAAAAACTTGTAATATAGGCCATACCTCTAGTGTTCTAATACATACAGTATCCAAAAAACTAAACATCTAATGATTTTCCCATACAACTTGACATCTGACCACCCTAAATCCCCCATTCCAACTCTTCCAAATGCCCAAGAGAAACAAACAAGGAAGATTTACTGAGCATCCGGAATACTGACAAATCTGGCAAACGAAGTGGGACAGTGAACACCAGATTGGAATAACCATGGCAGGAAATGTCTTGTTAGTAGCTTCTCCCACATAATCATAAATACCTGTTTTCACACAGCTAGAGAGGCAGTCTCTCAGGTCTGAAACCATTTCTTTAACAGGCAGTCCTTAGATTTAAGATGCAATTGGTTCCTTAAAATCTGAGTTACAAAATTATCACAACTCAAAACCACAATCCACTTGATTGTGGAACTGAGCATCGGAAAGTCGAAACAAGTCAATTCAGGAACATTCTAAGGGCCTTCTATCATGAGCCAAACGTTGTAAATTGAAGACTACCTATATGTATTTATATTTATAAAAGATACCCACCCAATGCTCTAGGTACCCTTTCATCTATTAAAATTACAGTATCAATATATTAGTAAACAAACTGCCATAAAACTTCACTTGTATTATGCTCCAAAATAGCAAATGGCACTCCAAAGAAATGCATAAAAGTAGCCATGTTCAGGTTAAAACTTTAAAATCCTAATCTCTGCTGGAAAGGAACTAAATAGTTAGTGAAGATGGTGCAGTGAGTTTCATAAGCTCAAACTAAACTCCTATATGCAGAAACCCCATTTTGCATTAGCTTCAACTTTATAATGATCTTAAGATGTAGCATTATGGAGAATGTATTATAGTTGTATCACTGCAGACCGTCAGATACTTGGCATGGTACAAGATGAAGCACAGTAGAAAGAGGATAGTCAGGAGAAAAAAAAAATAAGGGGAGGTGGAACTGGTGACCAATATGGTGTGCTGGTCTCAACCATGTCTTCAAAAGGCTGGCTTAGGTGATGAGGCCCCTTAGGGTGGCCTGAGGCCTGGCCCAAAATTGACAGTTTCCTTTTACCACTGCAGTTCCTCCTCCTACAGCTACCCTAACAGCTCTGCTGTGAAAAACAACTGCTGAGGATGCAGGCAGAAGTGCCTTTGCTTTTAAGCTGGCACCCACATAGCCGACTGACCCTCCCCCTCTCACAGAGGCAGTAGCACAGGGAGGCACGTGGGAACTGGTGCTCAGGGAGAACCAGCTTAAAACTGATTAATTACTAGTCAAGTAGTCAAGGGAAATTCCATGGACTACTTAACAAGTAAATTAATTGTTATTTAGCATCCTTACTTCGGTGTGCAGGAGGGAGCTGCCACGGAGCAGGCTCTGGACAGGAGGTAGGGTGCAGGAGCAAGTTGGTGGTTCTGGACCATTCTGCATTTGCCTCGATTCCTGGCCAATGGAGGAAGGGGAAAAAGCCTGCAGTTGAGTGCAGGGACAGAGTTTTTCTTAACTACTGGCAATGAATGTGGATCTAGCCCAGGGAGGGGCAGTGGTAGAGCACAGATCCACCTCCCCTTCCATCTCTTCCTGGCCAGGGAGAGCTGTCCCAGAATGCAGCGCTTTCGTAATCCTGTCTGGCTTCTTCCCACAGCAAGAAGCTGGGGGTCTTAAAGCTCAGAAAATGTAGTTGTACCTGTGCAAATATATATACACAAGAAAAACCAAGGTTTGCACCAATGAAACTCACCTTGCACTCTTACTATGTTTAGCTGCTGAAGAATTTATGTAGGATTTATGTACTCTAGCCATTGACATTTTTTTTATTTCAGCCTCTCGGCTTCTAAATTTAAGAATGAACTAAAACAGCTCACAGTTAGCTACAGAAGGTGGACTTGGAAAGGATGTTTAGAGCCATCCTTCATAGATTCTACTCTAAAACCAAAAGGGACCACTGTAATCATCTAGTCTGACCACTTATATATCATGGGCCATAGAACTCTCAAAAAAATAATTCTCCGAGCATCTATTTAGGAAAAAGATCAAATTTGATTTAAAAATAGTCAGTGATAGACTATCTACCATGACACCTGGGAAACTGACCCAATTTTACCCACTTCTTCTGCTGCAGGGTAGGCCTGTAAAAGGTTAACTGTGTAACTGTATGGAAACCGATGCTTATTGGTTAGCCATTTAAATGGTTTTACATTCCTAATGTATAGTACTATTTACTGTGCCGATAGTATGTGAAATGCCGACAGATAAGATATCTTAACACTAGATTCTGGATTTATTTTTGATGCCTTACCTGTTCTCGCCAGCAAAAGCAATTTATTCAAAGCCATTCCAAAGTTATGGCTATTTAAAACTAAATGTGTTTTAACAATGAAGTATTCAAAACAAAACAGTTCCAAAAAATCTGAATTGTATGGGTCTCGCACATAAACAGGGCAACACCCCTCATTAAATAACAGTCTGTAGAGATTAAGGGGCAGTCTGTCCATGAAGTCTGCATTAATCTTCTCGCAGGATCATCCTGAGCGGCTAAATCTTAGCTAATCTTAATGACTATTGCTCGGGGGCGGTTCCTGTCAGATGAAGACGGGGCAGGACACCGAGCGTGCAGGAGGAGGGCTGCAAGTCACCTAGCTGCTGCCATGCTCCTCGTCAGGCGCTCTGCTCGGCATCCAGCAGGACCCTGGGATTCTTTACTTCCTTGAAATGGGCAGGAGCCCTGCAAAGCCCTAAGCCCACGTCTCGTCGGAGGGGCACTGCCCTGACACAAGGAAAGGCTGCAGCAGGCAACAGCTAGCGACAAAGGACAGAGCTGGGACTCCAGCGCCCCAGTATAGGGCCGGGGGAGGGGCACCAAGCCGCCCCCCCAGTGAGCAGCAGCAGCTTTTCTGCCCGCAAGATGAGGCCTGGGGCCAGACTCCAGCGCCTCTCTCCGCCCGTACAGACCTGAAAGCCAAACTCATGGTTGCGTCCCCACCCCCGGCCGGACCGGGCTTCCCCCGCCGCCACCGGCACTGGACACCAGCAAGGGCGCCGCTCTAGCTCCCCTTGGAAACACGATACAATGCAGTCACTAGTAGCGGTGCTCCCTTCTGTCGCTAAGCTAACTGGCTGAGCACCCGCTTCCTCTCTCCGCCCGTACAGACCTGAAAGCCAAACTCATGGTTGCGTCCCCACCCCCGGCCGGACCGGGCTTCCCCCGCCGCCACCGGCACTGGACACCAGCAAGGGCGCCGCTCTAGCTCCCCTTGGAAACACGATACAATGCAGTCACTAGTAGCGGTGCTCCCTTCTGTCGCTAAGCTAACTGGCTGAGCACCCGCTTCCTCCCGCCCTCCTCTCTATCGTACCCTCTTATTGGTTAAAATGCTTGCCAGCCAATGTGACTCTGCCCGCCTTCTATTTAGTTTGGTTGAGGTACGCAGCTTCCGTTTTTACCCAGAATGCCCCAGGGCTTTGCATTGGCGAAGGGACGATTAAATTTCAAAAGCGGTGGGAAATGGGGAGAGTCCCGGATGTATCTTGGAGACTCCGCCCTTCCGTTGTGGCGTCAGTCCACCCTGGCTGAGCTTTGCAGGCCCGCCTGTGAGTCTGCGGCGCTGGGAAATGGTAGATGGTCATGTCTTCACATCCAGACATTACGTGTTCATTCCCTCATATTTGGATGTGCTGTAACCACAAGACCATAATGTGCTACTGGAACAATAATAGAAGTAAATAATGCTCAGCATTCCCCTGCTATCGCACACCTATCCAGTGTAATCCACTGGAAAATGTGTGTGTTGTGGTTCCTTGTAGCACAGGTTGGTCTATATATTGAATAATAGCATTTTTTTTCTACCAGTTCCTTGTTCCACTTCAGTTTTAGAGCTGTGGATTGAAGGTTGCAGTTGCTGGTATCTGAAATAGATCTGTATGAGGGTGAAAATAGGACACGTACCAACTCCCGCCAGGCTGTCCTTTCCCCCTTCCCCCCCAGTGCTGTGCCTCTGTATCAGAGGCAGCAGTGCTGCGGCAGGTGGGCAGTCAGCTCCAATGGAGCCACCTGCCATCCCCTGTTGCCTCCCACCGAGGCAGCACTGGCGAGGGGGTGGGGGGGGGGGTAGATGGGAGCCGGTGCTTGGGAGGGAGCCAACTTAAAAGCCAGCTGCCCTTCCCCCCCTGCAGTGCTGCTGCCTGGGTGGGAAGCAGCTCTGCAAGAGCTGGCACACATGGAAAGCCAACTTAAAAATTGGCTCCTCCATGTACTGGCTCCCACTTGCTTTCTCCCTCCCCCCGGTAGGGGGAGTGGCTACTGTGGAGCTGGCACCCACCTCTTCCTGCTTCTAATACGGAGGAAGTTGGGAAGGTGCATGTAACCATCAGGAGGATTAAGCAGTGAGCCCAGAATTATCGGTAAATAGGTATACGCTAACATCTCTAGGTGAAAACTATGCATACATTTATACAAGTTAGTATGATAATCATTAAATAATTATCGGGATTATTTGATATTACAAAACATGCGATTGTTGTCCCTTTTCACCTGGTCAGCAGAAAGGGCCCTGATGATATTCCAGTTAGGAATAAAAGTTGAAGGAATCTTGTTTATTAACAGGGAACATACAAAGTCCTGTGATTCTGTAGGTAGAATCAAGAATACTGTACAGTCTCCAAGTCTCTTTAGTCAAATCAGACCCAAAAGCGTGCTCTAGCTTTTTCCAGTCACACTGTACCACATGATCCTGCTTGTCTTTCTTGCTTCTCCTTCCCTCTCTTTTTGTCTGTTTTCTGTGTCTGTCTGATCTCTCTTCTTACTTACATCGCTGCCCAAAACAGCATTCAGCCAAAAGCCTTGAACGAGTTCACATATACCTTCTGTTTCGTGGGGGGCTTCTTCCATTATAGTGGTATTAATTGAAAAATAAATTCACACCTATTTATCTCAATGGGGTTTTAATAACTCAACCTATGACAAGGTTTTACTCAGTTTATAACAGTATTTAGAGGTGAATTTAGATTTTTTTTTGTTGCAATTATCTTTGGTTAATGGGAGCTGCCCTCTGATGGATAGAATGTTGGAGATTTAGAAAGTTTGTGAGAGAGCAATAGGTGGGAGAGTTTGCCAGAGTCCCAAAGATGATTCTTGTGTAAGTTCCAAAAAAGCTCAGAACTTAATTCAAAACTTCAAACAAGACTCAGTTCTCAGAGGTGAAACATTAGCACTAATAGGATGCCTCTGGGTATTGCTAATGAACCTTTTGCCTGCAGGTTCCCAGCTTGAATCTTGCCCAGCTCAGAAGCAATTAAAAGTTGCTCCTATTTAAAAGATGCTTGGTAGTCCCTAGATTAGATGAGTTTGGGGAGTTCCAGTGATGATCTTCTGTATCATTTACCATGTTGCCTGTTCTTCAAATTTTATTGTGAGTCTTTGGTGTAAGTCCTAGTTCCTTGTGTCAGGTGACTTGACAGAATCATTTATACCTGAGAAAAACCTTGAAAATATGACTAAAGTGTATCGGTAAGACTAAAAAATGAGAAAAAAAATCCCAAAATTATCTGAAAATCTCTCATAATTTTAAACTCATTTTTTGTATTTGAGGAACTGACTCAGCTTAGCTATTACACTCTCGGGCAAAGAATGGTAGTAAGGGTATGTCTACACTACCACCCTAGTTCGAACTAGGGTGATTAATGTAGTCATTTGAAGTTGCAAATGAAGCCCGGGATTTAAATATCCCGGGCTTCATTTGCAACTTCGAATGACTACATTAATCACCCTAGTTCGAACTAGGGTGATTAATGTAGTCATTTGAAGTTGCAAATGAAGCCCGGGATTTAAATATCCCGGGCTTCATTTGCAACTTCGAATGACTACATTAATCACCCTAGTTCGAACTAGGGTGATTAATGTAGTCATTTGAAGTTGCAAATGAAGCCCGGGATTTAAATATCCCGGGCTTCATTTGCAACTTCGAATGACTACATTCACCACCCTAGTTCGAAGTAGGGTGGTGGTGTAGACATACCCTAAGATATTCAGGGCAGGGGCTGGGAGCTTGTCTGCATAAGGGGTTAATTAGCAACTTTTTGCTGTGTGTCACGTAATGCATAGTGTACAAAATTATATGCCTTCTGACAATGGAAATTACTGTGTACACATAGTGGCAGTTTTTGGTGAGAACTGAGGACATGGTGTTCTCAGAGGTTATCCAATGCTTTTTTGCTTTGCTGTGGAGCAGTGTATTCTGGGGAGTATGTCTTGGCTCTGTCTTTTCTTGTTTGTAAGGCCATCAGAACCTGGAGTTCCATATGTCACTGTTCTGTGTCCTGAGCTGGAGTCTGAGGGTAATTGCCTTTGGGAGCAGGTACGGCAGGGAAGAGTTGTTCTCAGTAGCTTGTATTGTCCAGGAATTGGATAACATGACTGGGTGTTGGTTTGCAATAGTATTGAATTACCAGTATGTGAAGTACTAGGGCACTTTGTCTTTTTATTGCCTCCGGGAGTTGCCTCTGCATATTATTTTTTCCCCATATTGTCTTTGGTAATGGCAGTGCTTTTTGTGGCAACTGTTATGTTGTCCTTTTCCAGTGCCATAATCTCCCAGGAAAGATTTTTGTCACATTGTTTCTCTGTCCTCAAACGCTGTCTCTATCTGCATTTTTCAGTTTTTTGGGTGCGGTCTGTGTTACAATGTCCATGAACATTTCATCATGATTTCTCTCTTTGCTTTGTTAGAAAAGTATGTAATGCCAATGCCTGTCTCGTGTAAAGTGAGAACACTAACCAGACTTCTTTTTCTCTGACTGCTGCCTTAGTAAACATTATGGCTATGTCTACACTGCGCATTGTTGCGCAAGAAGATATGCAAATGAGCTGCCATTTTCTTTTGCGCAAGAAGGAGCTGTCTACACTGCTCCTTCTTGCACAAAAAAACCCGTCTTGCGCAGGAGCCGTTCTTCCTGAAAATAAGCGGCAGACCGGCTCCTGCTCAAGAGGGTTTTTTAGCGCAAGAAGGAGCAGTGTAGACTGCTGCTTCTTGCACAAAAGCCCCTTGTGCAAAAATAGTGTCTCATTAGGTACGCAAATGAGGTGCAGCCAAGAATGCGCAATGTAGACATAGCCTACGTTTTTCTCAAAATAATGTTTTCATTATTTGAATCCAGTACTGCAGGAGGGGGAGGGGGGAAGGATTAGGCTAGTGAGTGGACCGCATGTGTAGCCCTCCATCTCAGTGGGCAGCAAATTTGTCATAATTAAGATGATCTCCTGGGATAAGGCAGTTTTGCTAACAGCATTTACGTACTTAGATTTTGTAGGGTATGCTGATTAAACCATAGTAGCATTTTGATTGGATGCAGAAGGAGCACACAACTCTCACAATCAGTGTTGCATGCAATCAGCAGGCACCTCACTTCATGTACCCTTGCTTTTAAGTGCATGTCACTGATATTCTGAAAATCTTAAGTAGTTAGGGCTTCATCATGAGATCGGCTAAGTATCTGGCTTCTGAGTCTCTACCATTTGGAAAAGGACCATGAGTGATGGAGGGACAAATAGCAGCATGGGCTGATAGCGGGAACAAGGCAGGAAACTGGAACTAATCTTCTAGCACTCGTCCACCTAGAATGGATGTGGCCATTTGGCAACTGGAAAAGAAGCTAGCATAACACTAACATAATTAAAAATATTAAATAAAAAAAGTAAATATTAAATTGCAAAAATTAAAATAGATATACATGCCAAGGTGTACTGCATAGGATCTAATTATTCAATCTTGTTTAGGGTCTCAGAACAGGTCCAAGATTTGAACAGGTCCAATTTGCTCAAGGCAGATTGTAGGACTTTTGGAATATTATCACCGCTATTATAATAAGATTGACTACAGGAGCAAACAGACAAAATCTGCTGTGCTCCAGCTTATAAGGAGACAGAACATCTGGTCAACTTGATACCAGAACAGGAGAGGGCACACAAGTAAACAGATGGGTCATCTGGGTAGGATAAGCATTGGAAAATTGCCAATGCAGTTTGTAGCACCATTGCCTACACACGAACAATAGACTGAATTCATGTGATTTGCTGCAAAGTTAGTAAACTTCAAATGAGTCAAGAATTTGTG